CAAGGTCACCGAGCAGCTGCATGTAGAGGAGCGGCGAATCCAACCCAGTTCCCCCAGATTAGATTCCAGGCTCCTAACCACTACACTAAACTGGCTGAGAGAGAGAGAGCAAGAGAGAGAGAGCAAAGATTTGAGCCTGGTCCCTGACTCTCCTAAGGCGATACCTCTGTGGGCCAATCTCTTACACACAAAGGTTGGCTTGGAAAGCAAGCATCTCCCGCGGTATTCCCCTCGTCCTACCCAAAAACTGGTTCGGGTTCTGTACTTTCCCAACGCAACCTTCCTTCGGTGCAGTCACTCCGCAGAAGGAAGAGGTTTGACTTCTCCCATCCTTATGAGCCAGTTTGGCGCCGTGGTTAAGTGCGTGGCCTCTAATCAGGGAGAACCGGGTTTGATTCCCCCACTCCTCCACTTGCACCTGCTGGATGACCTTGGGCAAGCCATAGTTCTCTCAGAGCTGTTCTTGAAGGTCATCTAGTCCAACCCCCTGCACTCTGGAGGAGCATTTGAGTCCAGTTCTTCTCCAATTTGGTGTAGTGGTTAAGTGCACGGACTCTAATCTGGGAGAACCGGGTTTGATTCTCCCCTCCTCCACTTGCACCTGCTGGATGACCTTGGGCAAGCCGTAGTTCTGGTACAACTGTTCTTGAAAAAAAGAGCCGTTTCTGTCAGAGCTCTCTCAGCCTCACCTACCTCACAGGGTGTCTGTTGTGGGGAGGGGAAGGGAAAGGAGTTTGTAAGCTGCTCTGAGACTCCTTGGGTAGTGAAGGGGAGGTGTAAATCCAATCTCCTCCTCCTCCTTATGCCCTGTATGGATATCTCTCATGGGGAATGCAATCTTTATAGCCCCTTTCCCCCCACCCCCTGCTGGGGCGGGAAGGCAGGGCCAGTCAGATCCTCATTCCTGTGCAAACAGATGGCTCCAAGATCTGGGTGCTTAAAATCCTAAAAATGCCCAATCTAGCCCTTCCTGCCTCCGGGAGCTGAGATGGGGGGGGTGAACTGGAGGGGGGACAGACAGTCCTTTCAAACAAGGCCGTTATCGGTTCTGTAGGCCTGGAAAGAGAAGATGCTGGCTTTGGCCATATAAGGCCAGGATCGGCTCAGAAAGTGACCTTACGGAGCACTTTGGGGGCTTGCGGCTTAGCCCGGCATCGCAGAGAATCCGGGGGCGGGAGGCTGTCGAGACCGGGAGGTCAACAGCACAGCGTTGCCGTTATTCCACAGTAGGGACTGGCTGGCATTAGAAGGGTTGAGTGATCTCAGATTTTATCAGTCAGTACAAGTAATCCCCACACAGCATGGGGGGCAGAGGCCACCTATGGGATATGTCAGCCGGATGGCAAAACTGAGCTTTCCACACACACACACCCCAATAACCCTCAGAGTTCACTTCATTCAGCTACTAACAAGAATCCAGGCCATGCCGAAAGGAAAGTTTCCTTTGAGGGGAAGTGCTCTCCGGAAGAAGAAGAAGAAGAAGAAGAAGAAGAAGAAGAAGAAGAAGAAGAAGAAGAAGAAGAAGAAGAAGAAGAAGAAGAAGAAGAAGAAGAAGAAGAAGAAGAA